CCACGTGATCAACATTTGGCAAACCTGAAAATTCACCCTAGTATCCTTTTTTGATACAAATGCCGGTAAAAACCTTAAACCAATCAGACGTTAGGAGTTTGCCCACATGACTTTACAATCACGCCAGCACCGGAAATGTGTCACGATAGGGTAAAAAAATCGAACTTCTAAGCATTTTGACTCAATGAATCTAACTACGCAGAGGTGAAATAAGAAAAAGAGCTGAAAGTGAATGCAACGAACAACGCTTCTATGGCGTAATAAAACAATATATTTAGAGTCAGTGGCTCTTGGCATATGTTTAATTAAAAGGTTTTACCGACAGTTCATACTCTATAGATAAAAGCCGTGGATGGTTTATAAACTTTAAAAATACAATAGGCCATCGATCGATCAACAAACTTTGTTTGACTTTGTTGCTATGCGTTTTGGATGTTGGCAAACTGACTGATAAGGATTGGAAAACTGATCCAGGACATTGGTGAATCGATTTAACACGTTGGCGAACTGGTTGTTGGCAACCTCACACGTTGGCGAAATGACCGGTTACTGGCAGGCGCTTGGTCGTTTCACTTGAAAATTGAAACTCGAAAATTATCTCAGAGAGATCAAATGTCGTTTCATATCGCTGGATTTTTTATGGTAAAAAGCTTGTCTATTTTTTAGAGAAAAATATTCTCAGGCAGGACGGCGTTAACCAGTAGCAGAGTGCAAGTGTCGAGCACAAGTGCGTAACCTGTGTATCCCACGCCTTGCGCTTGCCCTTTGAGCAACGCTTTTAAAACTGCTTGTTTGACATAGAAAAGAATTCACACTATCGATAGCCTGTTTACGGTCTCCCTTGCAGCTCGAAAAACTTAACACTTCAAGGCTACAGTTTGAAAACAAGGCAAATTGAGCTCTTATCAGTCATCAAAAATATTTCAGCGGAGGATAACAGCATGAGTGTGAAGTAAAAGTGCATGGTCCACACATCGCACTACTCAGAATGAACCTACGATCAAGCCAGCCATTTTATTTCGCGCTCTTTATTCTCTTTATGGGCAGGCCAAAACCATGTTTAAGACAGAGTAAATGAGTGTGGAAAAATCCGTCTGATCACAGGTAAAAGCTCGCTTATTGAGCACCGCTTTTCATAAACTGCTAAATGTATCGGCCGTTTCCT